GTTAATCCTGGAATTCCAAAATCTTTACATGATGCAAGTCTCTCTTTCTTTCTCTGAGAAAGACAGCAACAAATGCCGATTGCCCTAGAAAAGTCTCGTGAATTCCAACGTAGGCTTTTATACTAACTAAAATTATAAGGTATATCACACACATTTCTTATTATAAATCGTATTTTTTATGCCACGATTTTTCCTAACTCATTAAACTGTCACATTCAATCTGTTGGGTGATCAGATCCCAAAGGCGGTAGTGAATAAAGAAGCCTATCCAAATGCTTCGCATTTTAATCGCATACTTTCGCTGCGGCAGATTTCAAAGCTTGTTAAAAGTTTTTTTTTTTATCAAAATTAGTCTTCCAATTGAGGTTAGGTTTCTAAATTATGCCGCACCAATAACCATATTTAAAATTTTGCTACTCTTAGCCTATTCGATAATTTTATTGTAAATATAGTATAATCTAATATATAAATAAGCTAATACATCGGCTTCCAAACTAAAACATACTAAAATACACCACAATATATACATATGTACACTACAATATATACATACATATGTACACTACAATATATACATATGTACACCACAATATATGAACACGCCTCCGAATACAAACCTAACCTACTTGTATACTTATATGTATGTATATACCCGGTTTTTTTGTTCTCCTACTATTGTATTTGCTTTTTGGTATTGGGGCTAAATTTCTTGCTTCAAACAGCTTTATTTCACTATTTAAATTATGTGAGAATTTTCAAAATTTTATTTAAATTTTTTTGAATGAGTTTGTTTGTATATATGAATTTTATATTATATTTATTATGTAATTTTGTATTACATATTTTGTGTTTATATATATTATTCGTAGTTTGAGTAGCATTTCACATCTTCGTCACAAGAAAACTAAACTCATTTTCTTTAACGCCATCGCTTTACGAAAACAACAATTTTTTTCTAAACATGTATTTACTAAAATTGTCTATTCTCTTTCAATTATGCGCAGGTATTTTATGATTTAATCAGGGATATTTCTTCGCGAAAGAAACAACGTCAGTCCGATGTGCGACAGCCGCCAAAAACCAAATCTCATTGCTGCCAACTGCTGTAATATTCATGAAATTTGAAAACCGAACAACTTCAATACAAAAATAACAAACAAAAAACAAAAACGACGCTGATGAACAACACAAGCAGAATGCCGCAAACCAACAATGACAATGACGACGAATGAATAAAAATAATTATTCTCCATTTAGATACGGAAAAGAGAAAAAACAAAAACAACAACATGCAAAGCTTTTGTCTTTGCAAGAGTTATTAAAATAAAAAGTAAAACAAGAGTTAAAATAAGTTCTAAAACTGCAGCGCAACTCTGTTATATTACAACAATAAAGGAGAAAATGAAAACAGCATATACAACTCAATTTATGCGTAAATTTGTAAAAAAAAATATTATAATTAAAACCTACAAGCCACTTACAATTGCATGCTTACATACATACATACATACATAAGTTTATATAGGTAAATATAAAGCAACACCAATTGTAAAATCAATCAACAACGTACTGTATTCAATAAATGAACAAATGAGAAACCAAAATATACAACAACAATATAAACCTTGTAGAGAATTATATTTTGGCAACTTTTTATGTACTAACTTAGCTTATGTTTATTGTTTAAAGGAGAGCTCCTGAGAAAGTATATAGTTATAGACTGTCTACTACTCATGGTTGCTGTAAAGGTATTTTATGATTTTCTAAAGAATTCCATACAATTTGATTTTGAATATTCGAAACAATATTCGTTTGGATAGTTTGGACAAGTTTTTCATGATTTTTTTTTAAAGAATTCCTTAAAATTAATTTTGAAGGTCCGAAACAATATTCGTATATGGGTTTGGGGCGCACAACACGCTTGAATTCGTATTTTTTTAATAACTTCAGCTAAAGTTATAAAATAACCATATTCTGGCAGCATTATGCCAATTTAAATTTTTTTTTAAATATTGAAGTATTTTT